ATATATATATATATATATATACACACACACACACATACACATATACACACATACACACATACACACACACGCACACACACACACACAGACACACACACACACACGCGCACCTGCAAGGAGAGATATTACATTTTTTTCTCTGTTTGTTCATGCTCGTCTTAGCTATTTCTTTTTATTTTGTATATTCTATACGATCTTTCTATCTCTCTCTCTCTCTATCCATCCGTCCATCCATCCATCCATCCATCCATCCATCCATCCATATATCCACCTCTCTCTCTCCCAGACACACACCCCAGTATTCAACCTCTCTATCCATCCATCCATCCATCCATCCATCCATATATCCATCCATCCATCCATCCATCCATCCATCCATCTATCCATCCGTCCACCCATCCATCCATCCATCCATCCATCCATCCATCCATCCATCCACCCATCCATCCATCCATCCATCCATCTCTCCCACAGAAACACCCCAGTATTCAACCTCTCTATTCATCCATTTATCCATCCATCCATCCATCCGTCCATCCATCCGTCCATCCATCCATCCATCCATCCGTCCATCCATCCATCCATCCATCCTTCCACTTCTCCATCCATCCATCCATCCATCTCTCTCCCACAGGCACACCCCAGTGTTCAACCTCTCTATCCATCCATCCATCGTTCCGTCTCTCTATCCATGCATACATCCCTCCATCTATCCATTCATCCATCACTCTGTCCCCCAGACACACACCCCAGTATTCAACCTCTCTATCCATCCATCCATCCATCCATCCATCTCTCTCTCCCCCTGACACACACCCCAGTATTCAACCTCTCTATCCATCCATCCATTCATCCCTCCATCTATCCATCCATCTCTCTCTCCCCCAGACACACACCCCAGTATTCAACCTCTCTATCCATCCATCCATCCATCCCTCCATCCATCCTTCCATCTCTCTCTCCCCCTGACACACACCCCAGTATTCAACCTCTCCATCCATCCATCCATCCATCCATCCATCCATCCATCCATCCACAGACATTCACCCCAGAGTTCAACCTCTCAGGCCCAGACTCGCTGCCAGTAGGAGGTTCCGGCCTCTACACATTTGAGATGACCCTACCCTTCGTGAAGAAGAACGTGCAGTTTGATGTGTTTGCTCCCATCAACGCTACGGGTAACTGTGCTGTGTTGTTGTTGTTGTTGTTGTTGTTGTTGTTGTTGTTGTTTGATGTGTTTGCGCCCATCAACGCTACGGGTAACTGTGCTGTGTTCTTTGGGTTGCCCGCGGTGTTATTCTTGTTGTCGTTGGTGGTGATGGTGGTTGGGGTAGTAGTGGTGTTGTTGTTGGTTTGTCCCGGGTTTTGTTGTCGTCTTTGGTGGTACTGGTTGTGGTAGTGGTGGTGTTCTTGGGTTGTCCTAAGTGTTCTCTTTGTTCTTTGTGGGGCTGGTTCCTGTTGTTGTTGTTGTTGTTGTTGTTGTTGTTGTTGTTGTTGTTGTTGTTGTTGTTGATCCATCCGTCCAATTTCTTTATAATTAGCCCCTTGGCCAGGCTCCCTCTTAGTCACTTCTGTCTAGCCTGTAACCACACGTAATCTTAAGACCCTCTTTGTTAGGCCCATTTCCCTGCTAGTATACAGCGCTCATTTAGTTTTTCTCTCAGTTGCTCCTGAGGAAGCCTACGAGGCGAAACGTTGAGCCACTTATGTAGTATGTAGAGTTCACACCAACGGCGCTTTGATGGCGCTTGAAAGCGCCATCAAAAGCGGCTCCAAAGCGTAACAAAGCTCGATTAAAGTGTCAGGGTCGTCATAGATCGTTGGAAAAAAGCTTGGAGCAAAGCGGAACATTCGGCAAGAGCGCCCAAAAATTTTAAACTGTCTAAAAATTTGGGGCGCTCTGTCACGAATTGGTTAAAGGTTCGAGAGCGTATCAAAGCTTAACAAAGCGTAACGAAGTTCAGTAAAGCTTGACTCAAAGCGTAAGAAAGATGATGATACCACCAATAAAAATTATGTAAATGTGACATTGGCACTCGTGAATATTGACACTCGTCAGTATCTGCTGTATAAATATATAGGCTATGTGTGTTTGTTTGTCCGTAATTGTTACGTTCCACCGATAATTGTTTAAGTTGGATGCTTTTTGCACACACTGACAACATGTTTCTTAATAATAAAACAGAATATGTCAAATTGAAAAGAAATGCCTTTTATTTTCAAATAAACTTGAAAAAAAAGATAGACATGAATGGAAAAGTAGTTGAACAATACAAAACACACAAAATCCATCCTCATCCCCACACCAACTAAACGAAAAAGAAATAAAGAAAATAAAAATATCAAACATAATACAGTAAAACCTGTAATGTCAGGACCCTGTGGTGACAGGACACCTCTATTCAAAGGACAAAGTTTCTAATGCCAAATTTCTCGTTTCATCTGTAAATTGTCCCTGTGGAGATAGGACCCTGTAATGTCAGAGCTATTTTGAGATTCCCCAAGAGCGTCCTGTCATAGCAGGTTTCACTGTACGAGTAATAACAAAAAAACAATAATATGAATAATAAAGCATCTTCCAAAGTACATATGAGCAGTTCCAAAAACCTCATCAGCCAAAAAGGGATGAATGTGTCAAAATTTCAAATTGATTGAAATGGCACAGTATGTGCTTCTAGTATACCTCAGTATAGTACAGAATTAACAGAATGATACGCTTTTACACCTTTTCCCGACCTATTTCGTAGATTGTCAGATCAATTTCGACATTGTGATTTCAGTTCGACTACTCAATGAGAAGTGACGTCACGGGATCAAATGACTGTCATTGACCCTGTGACGTCACTTCTCATTGAGTAGTCGAACTGAAATCACAATGTCGAAATTGATCTGACAATCTACGAAATAGGTCGGGAAAAGGTGTACATCAGAGCTTAAAAACTTCTGGTTTTTCTGAAACAGCCATTCAAAGTCTGTAATCATCTTGCGTGACACTGATAATGTTATAGCACACTAGTCTTCATCTTCAGTCTTGCGATTTCTCTCTCTCTCTCTCTTTCTCTCTCTCTCTCTCTCTCTCTCTCTCTCTCTCTCTCTCTCTCTCTCTCTCTCTCTCTCTCC